AGTTGTTCCACCCTCTTTCCTTCTTAGAATTACAATTAATATTCATATTAATCCACTCCTTCAAATCGAGATTAAAAAACACATGATAGATCTCCAAAGGAACTTTATGCACCCAAGCCTCCTTGGCTCTAGGGCAATCTCGTAATGCATAAGTCGTGTTTCCCACATCATGGTCGCAAAGAATACAAGCTACAAAACCTAACCCTCTCAAGCTCTTGTTCAGGTTTGTCAACAGTTTATCGTGCTTCAAGATCCAAACAAAGGTCCTCACTCTCTTTAGAACTTTCAACTTCCAAATAATATTCCAATCTCGGTCATAATCAATACGATTATGCTTTGCCAACAGATCGTAGAATAGCTTCACGGAACCATCAGCAAAAGCCACACCTTCTATCGAGAGTTTGTCCTCAACTGCATCAATGTTAAAAACAGGAGGCTGAATACTACATATTTTATTCAAAATCTCACTCGACAACCATTAACTAAGGGCAGACTAGTCCTAGTTACCACTATCATTCAAGAGCGCCCTAACCTTAACATTAACCACATTATTCGAAATAGCATGAACATGCTCATGAATACAAAAGCTAGGCTCAATCCAGCTATCCTCTCAAGCATCAATAGTACTTCCATCTCCGATAATCCATTTGCCAAGACTCATCAAACAAGAAATGTACTTATTTATAGATTTTCTAAGACTTAATTAGACAATATATATAAGATTTAACTCTATGTAATCGGTAAGTGATTTATGGCGTGTTTTATTTTTATTTTTTATTATTTTTTATAATATATTAATTTTGAAAAATTACACACATCTTTATATTTAAATCTATTAAAATGATAATTTTAAAATATGAACTAACTTTAAAAAAACTAACTTTGAAAAAGCAATTCTATAACTTATAATAAAATTTATATTTAGGCTAATGAATACATGTTGCAAAGAAAATATTAAAATAATTAAAGAGTCTATTGATAATTACTAAAATAGTTTTCTAACATATTATAATACTATTGGTAAAAAAAAACATATTATAATACTGCATTATAATATGTTCTTTTGGTACTTCACACCAAAAAGTTAACTTCACCATGCAAACCTTCCATATTATGCTTCAAATTTAACCTACAAACACTAACATTTGAACCGTACTAGTACAGTACTTCGATTGCTTATGAATAACACTGTACAAAATCATTTTCAAAAAAGATAATGTAGACAAACTAAGTCTTGATCGTGTATGGGCACTTGCATGCTAACTTGATATTTTAAGATACAGACGCGTAAATTAAAATCGAACCATATAAAGCAATTAACTTGAGAAAAAAATTAAAGAGTGTAATTTCCATGTAGGTTCCGAAAGCTTCATGTTTTCTTTAAAGGAGTAGTATTTGTACATAAGAGAGACTTTAGAATTTGCTGAAGATGCCATCTTTGGCTATTGAACTACAGCATCTCACAAACTCCTCAAAATATATACATCTCCTTCAATCAAACTAGTTTCTTAATCTATAGAATTAATATAGTTCTATACTATCTACTACTCTTTTGGATCCACAATTATAGGCGATGAAAATGTCGTCCATGAGTTGCTGGTAGGTGGCGTCAGCATTATAGTAGTAGTTGTTATAGTTTAACATGACAGTTGTTTTTGATGCATCAGGGGATCAATTCGAATTTTGTTATGTCTGAAGTAGGTGTCCATGAAGCTCAATGTGCGGTAGCTTAAGGATCCATCAATCAAGCGACCAATATCTCTGGCAAAGAATATGGATCCTTAGAACAGTCAGCATTAAAGTCGGTGAAGTCCACGCAAATGTGTCATTTGTTTACTACTTTCCTCACCAATGACACATTGGCTAACTAGGTTTGATACTTTGTTTTCGTGATGAACCTGACTTTAGTTAGTTTGCCTACTTCTTCATCAATGGTGCCTTTCTTCTCCTCACCAACTTTCGCTTCCTTTGCGCCACTGATTTGGTAGAAAGGTTGATGGCGAGGCTGTGGCATACCACTCTGGTGTCTATTCCTTGAATGTTAGAGAGGGCCCAAGTGAACAAGTTGATGTTTCTAATGAGTTGGTCGACTAACTCACGTTCTTCTTCCTCAGCGAGTGAGGTACTTATCTTAGCCACCTGATGGACATAGGGGTCTATCCTGACTTCCTTCAAGTCCTCAGTGGGTGTGAGTTTTTCATTACCCACGCCTAGTCTAGGATCTCAATAATAAATATTGGCATTTGGTGCCTCAGAGAAAGGGACACACATAAGGGTGGACTCTTCCTTTTTCGTCGCTAGGCTGCTTTGATAAAATTCTTAGGTGCTTTGTTGGTCTCCGTGAACTGTCCCGACTCGCCCACATGGTAGCAAGTACTTCAGTATCAAGTACCAGGTGACATTAACAGTCCCTAATGCGTTATAATGGGCCGGCCCAAGATGATGTTGCAGGGAGACAAGGGTTCCTCTACGAGGTAGCTGACTTCAATCACCTTAGTATCTGCTCCCTCGCCGCGGACTGTTTTTAGGGTTACATGACCCCTCACTTGCAGATGCTCTCTTAAGAATCATATTAACAAACCATAGAACGCTCTGATGTTGCAATGATTAAGCTGAAGTTTTTGGACAGTGTCCTGGAATAGGATATCAGCATAACTTTAGGGATCTATCGAGACTCGTTTGATGTCCCAGTTGCCATGTTGCACAGTGATGACCATAAAGTCATCCTCTTGAGGTGGGATTGTGACGCCATCACAACAAGAAAAGGTTATGTGAGTCCCTGATTCTTCCTACTTCACTTTGGAGAACCTGGTTGATATTATGTTTGTCGTTAGTACCTGTCAGGTGTATTTCCTCCAAGAGGAGTTGGAACTTCCTCCACCGGTGAATCCTCCAACTATGGTGTTAACCCTGGAGTGTAAAGTTTTGTTGGCCATCTTCAGGTGAAAATGGAGGAGATGATAGTGAAAGAGATATGGCCTAAGTTAATTTTACCGGGTCATGTTGTAAATTAATAACAATTAATAATCTTCAGTGTGTTCTAAAATAACAAGAAATGTGCAAATGAAGATTAATTTTTTAATAGGCAACAATTGTGAAGTGTTGTAGTAGGTTTGAATTCACAAATAGGCAACAAATGTGAAGTATTGTAGTAGGTTTGAATTCGAAAATAGGCAACACTTTGTGAAGTGTTGTAAAGTAAAAGTATGCAACTCTTGAAGAATGTTGTTGTGAGCGAAACAAGGTAACTTTTGTTTAAAAAAAGTATGTAACTTTTGTTATAAAAAAAGTATGTAACTTTTTGGTAAAAGCTTGTAACTCTTGGTAAAAGAAAATTGTTTCACCAAGGGTTGGAACCTTGAGAAACAACATCAATATGGCCTATAAATATTTCACTTTAGATTCAAAAAAACATAACAAAAAACGTACATCCTCTTTACTAAAATTTCAGATACTTTTTCCTACACTACATTCGAGTTTTTATTGGTCTTGTACAAATTAGAGTATATGTTAAATTATCTTGGATATTCTTGCGTTCTAACTCTAAGACATTTGAGAGTGTTTGAAATACTTATAATAAAAGTGATTTCGTTCACGATTGTAACCTCGACCTATTCGATTAAATTAATTCTCAAATAGGCCTTGTGGTGGACGCCAGTGTACTTTTCAAAAAGTACATGAATGTGTGGTATTCCTACGCGGATAGGCGATACTCAGAAGCCTTTATAGTTAAGTGTGGTTAGGGCTTACTCACGGTGGTGAGAGACCTTGTTCAATTATGTTTACGGTGGTAAGATAGTCTTAGCTCATGTGAGGAGATAAGATATGTGTATAAATGTTATGTTTAGAGTATTATGATTTATCCCTTACCTCTAATAGAGCAAAGTATTTATAAAAGCTATTGCACCTAGGATTTTCTAGGAGCTGATAACCGTCCACTCAGTCAAGGATGAGCCGTTAAATCTCTATTTCTTAAGGAGACGTGGAACAGCTTGTTTACTCGAACTTCTCTATAACCTAAAAACGTCTTTTTCCCACGTTTTTTGTGATGCGTCGAAAATAAGCCCCTTGAAAAGAGGCAATTCATAATAGTGGACAACGTATAGACATCACCCTCCTTGAGGATTACTCTCTTGCATTTAAGACCCTTTACCAATATATTACAACATGGTTCGTATTCAACTAGTAATTTTTAATTTATTTACATTTATATAAGATTCAACTTTTAGAGTTATTTCTAAAAAAAATTAACATTTATTTACAATATTCAACTTTTCTTTTAAATAAACAATTTTACAACTTAAATTCCAAATGTATATCTAGGCTAATAATCAATTTTCAATTTTCAATTTTTTTTATAAATCGAAAGATAAATACTTAAGTAATTAAAGAAGCTACTGAGTAATTATTAGAAAAAGTTGTTTAACATATTATAATATGTTTTTAAGTAGTTCAACCCAAAAAGTCAACTTCACCATGCAAACCTTCCCTATTATACTTCAAAGTACAACCCAGGAACACCAACATTTGAACCGTACAGTATACTTCGATTATTTACAAATACTGACAAACCATTTTCAAAAAAGATAATATAGAAAAACAAAGTCTTGATCTATGTATAGGCACTAGCATGCTATCTTGCTATTTTAAGACACAAACGCGTTAATTAAATTCAAACCCTACAAAGCAATTAACTTGAAATTAAAGATCGAAATTTCCAAGTAGTTTCCAAAAAATTCATATTTGCTTTAAAGGCAGAATCTGTACATACTAAGAGAGACTAAAGAATTTGCTGAAAATGCCATCCTTGGCAATCGAATCCCATCTCACAATTAGTTCTATACTACATCTACTACTAGTTTGGAACCACAAATTTAAGAAAAAACCAAAAAAGATGAAAAACAAGTAACATGTCAATGAGTTTTTCACATTCTCTATACTCTTTGTGTGAGGCTTTTTAGTGCTATATCCAACATTCCAATAAGCAAAAGATGGTGAAGTCATTGATGGGAGGTAATCAATCTTCTCTTCTGGTAATTTGATTTGAAACAAGCCTGTCTCAGTTTCTTGGTTTCTTCATTCAATTCCAAACCAGGAATATTCTCCAACAACTTTCTCTGCTTCTCCAACATAGCAACCTCGTTGTCCAATCCCATTTCCTGCATCACACGAACAACAACAAAACCTTACAAACAACACATAATATAAACCATTAAAGACATTGAAACAGACAACATAAGGATATGAAAATATTACCTTAAGGTTGTCCATTAGTAGCATCAAGCTCTTCAATTTTCTGTGAGGCCACCTTGTGATCTTGAGCTCTCTGCATCTCTTCTTCAAAAGGGTCAAACCAATGTTCAATCTCTTAGCAGCTAGTGTTATTGGAACATCAAAATGTTTCTTGATCTCATCATATGGCAATGAAGACTTCTTACTCCTAATCAAACTACTATTACCACAACTAGACAATGGCAATGGCAATGGACTCTGTTCTTGATTATCATCGTATTCCTCCTCCTCTTTCTTCACAAAACTCGAAAACCGATTTTCGATTTCAACAGAAGATTCAGCAAAGCTACACTCGCCGGTGCTCTCAGCTTTGTCATTGCAATGTTCCAATGCAGGAAAGACAGGATTAAGGGGGATTTGGTTAACCTCAAAGTTTTCATGAAAAAGTGGGAGGTTGAAATCGAAATCGAAGTTGAAATTTTCAAGATCCTTGAAGTCGTTGATGTAAAGGTGATTACTTTGGTATGATACTTCACTTCCCCAATCAAACTCAGGGAAACCCTCAAATGGCGAAAACTCAGTGATTCTGTACATGTATAATCACAAAAACAGAACAAACAAACAAAAAAAAAACATTAAAAAAAGAGAGGGAAAAACGGTTACAACAAACAAGAAAACAAAGTTCCACCTCGAAAATCGCGAAGAACACTGTTGTATTAAAGAACTGAACCATAACACTAGTACTAAGGTTATGTTTCTTGCATTTACGCTTTGTAAGAAACAGAGAAGCAAGATCAAGAACAGAACAGAATCAAGAACATGATAGAAATGTTGTCGAATAAAAACAGAAAAACCGGTAACATTGAAATTCTTACTTGTCTGTGTCTTCATGTAAGGGTTGAGTGTTGCAAAACCAGTTGGAAGCTTGAGCAATTTCATGATCGGCGAAGTAGTCCATAGCAGAGAGAGAGAGAGAGAGAGAGAGAGTGGTTAGAACAGAACAGAAACACAGGTGAATGTGTGTGTGTGTATTTATAGGAAAGAGGGGTTACGAATTTACATAGGAAAGTGGTGTTAAATTTTGTCATTGAATTGCAATTATAGAAGGGAGGTTGAATGATTATCATAATCATATGGAAATGCATTTGAATTTGCATTTAAGCGTAATTATTCATTCATTAGGGAGTGTTAGTCTTAAATTTTTCATTCATTTACGCTTAATTATGTGCATGCATGCCGTCACATTGTTTTCATCTCACAACTTCAACATCGAAACCCAACAAACGATTAATACTACATATATGTCTCGTTTCAATTTTGTGTTATTTACTTTTTGAGAATATGATTGGATAATATTAATTTAAATAATTGCAAGAATATTAAAAAAAGTGGTAAATTGTTTTCTTGAAATGTGTATTGGAAATTGAAATAATTAGTTTTATTTGAAATTTTTATATAGTGTGCTTTTAAATACTAAAAAATGTTTAGGAGTAATTAGTTTTATTTGAAATTTTTATATAGTGTGCTTTTAAATACTAAAAAATGTTTAGGAGTACTTAATTAGTTAGTTAAATTGGTTACTTAATCAACAAGTTATATAAATTATATATTTAGTTTTCACAAATTTAATAATCAATTCTCAGTCATAGTCACATTTCATATCGGGATAAAAGATAAAAGTCACTTCTTAGTAAGTTACTCCAAAGAAGACATGGTGATATTGTAATTAGGAGAAAATATTGTAAAATGCATTTAACAAAATGGTAATTTATTTGTTTGGGATAATGTGTAATCTATTGAGTATATAACAACTAGTAGAGAAGGTTTTTTAGTTACCATGAATGTATGAATGTTAATACATAATACGGTTTGATCCACACAAGTAAATGATATTAAAGTCAAAATTGTCAAAGAATAGGATATGCAAATGTAGCATTCATACAAAAAAGGAGGTGTGCATGCCAAGCATTTATTTACCTAAATGTTGGAGCGTATATGATATGGTCGTCTAAATTTTAGAAGCATGATTGAATTAAGCTCTGAGAAGTTAGTGTATGTCCGACCAAAACTGAATGCAAATAGAATGACATATGAAACATGTTTGATAAGCATGCAAAATAAATTGACCTTTACGTTAGACATATCCAAAAGATTAAATTATGCACCAAATGTTGTGTTTTCTAATATATATGGCCATTATTAAGTATCTTCACTAAGTGGGAGAAAGTATTTCATCACTTTTGTTGATGAACATATAAGAGTAGTGTTGTTGTATAATGTCAAATTCAAAAGTGAAGTTAAAACTTTCATGAAAGGGAGAGCGAGAAAGCACTAAAGGTTTTGAGAACTGATGGTGGTGAAGAATATACCTCAAAGGAATTTAAGTCATTTCTCATCATTAAAAGCATAAGACATGATGCTACCTCACCTCGGATACTAGAACCAATCGAGAGGAAATGGGTGTGCACTTTCTAGTATTGAAAATATAAAAATTTATTGATAGGGGTCAAACCCATGATCGGTACAACTTTCCCCTCGGATGGCATATCAACTAAAGGGAAAATGGCACCCTTTCCATGACACATTCTTTTACCTTACTCAGCAAATCGAGATAAAACTATTTTTCAACCGAGATAAAATCACTTATTCGTGGTAGTGATTTGACATTTCCAGAAGTGTGCTAAGGTACAAGAACGTACCTCATATGTTTTAGGGAGAAGCATTCAACATAGTAACTTATATACTAAGCAAATTTCCCACCATGAAGTTGAAGATGAAAGCTTTTGGATGTCATGATACATGATGTTGAGCCAGTTAGTGACAATGAGGTAATAAAGAGTAAGGTTTAGAGGGAGACGTTATGGAGGAATTCAAGTAAATTGATAAGAATCACACTTGGGAAGCTGGTTTATTTACTTGAGAGAAAGAAAATTATTGATTAGAAGTAGATCTTCATGGTCAAAATGAATTCAGATGACACAATTTCTAGGCATAAAGCAAGATAAGTAGCCTGAGATTTCTTGCATATATATGGTATCAATAACAATGACATGTTTATTCTTGTGCCAAGAGTTTAGATATTGAGACTACTTATAGCAATAATTAGTGTCAATAATTGGTCTTTTATCACTTGGATGTAAAATACGCATTCCTGAATGGTATATTGAAATAAACAATTTTGACACTCAACCACTATATTTTGAGATAAATGACAAAGAGCGTGTGAAATACAAGTTGCACAAAGCTCTGTATGGATTAAAGCATGCCCATAGATCATGGAACTGGAGATTTGACCAGTTTTTTTTATTAAACTAGGATTCAAAAGGTGTGTAGTTGATTATGGTTTATATGTGCAAAGTTCTAACAATTCAAGCGTCGTGATGATATTCATGTATATGGATGATCTGCTGATCGGGAAAATAGCAAGTGTACTATTTTTACCAATTGTAGTAATAAGGAAAAAGTCCCAAATATCGATCTCGAGGACTGCGTAGTAATTAACGGGATTTTTAGGATTCAAAGGAACAAAAGGTCTAGTGGTTTGTTTGGTAGTAGAGTAATATAACAAGTAAATAAAGACTTATAAATCAATTTAAGAACAGTGTTAGGGGAGTGGAGACGATGCAAGTAAAGACCATGTATGATTATTCTGCTAAAATAGTTATTAACCTTAATTCATCAGTTGGCCAATTTAGTTTTCTTAATTCCTTAATGAAAACCCTTTGATGAGTTACCTGTACACTAATTCCTCAGTGTCCATGAAAAACATCAAGCAATAGTTCCGACCATAAAATACATGATACGGGATATCCTCATTCCTAAGCAATATCGACCGTGATATTATTTTGCAAAAGTGTTAGGTTGACTTTCCAGATTAAAACCTAAGCATAATTCGAATTCTACTTTCCAATATGAATACGCGTTAAGATTAATGCAAAATAAAACATATAAGGTGAATAACATAGTTCTAATAGAATAATCAAATAAAAGTCATTACATCGCAACTTAGGACCACCCCCTAACAACTTGGGGTTTAGCTGCTCATGTTCTTGGTAAACATAAAAGCAATTAGAAATGAAAAGGAGAAGATCATTACAATGCGAGTTGAAATCCTTGGATCATCAATTGCTTCCGCTTTTGATTAATTCTTTGTTTTCCAGCCAAACTCTCCTCTCAGTTGTCAATCTTAATATCAGTTCAAAAGTGTCTCCTACTTTCTACAAAGTGACTCTTATATCTAAATTCAAATTACATCGCGAAATGTCACAAATGCCCTTCGAAATAGGTCTGACAGCAAAAAATCAGAAAACATAAAAATTTCACTCTCAGTGGCCCTGACACGGGCCGTGTTGTGCAACACGGGTGGCCGTGTCAGGCTGCTGACTTCTTCAGGGTGTGTCTCATCTCCAAGGGCTGCAACACGGGCCGTGTTGCATGACACGGGCACCCGTGTTGTACGTCTGAGTCTCCTTTTCTTCTGCTTTGGTCTACCCGTGTCTGCCAACCGTGTCCTCCATGACACGGGCCGTGTTGTGCAACACGGGTACCCGTGTTGTAGCTCTGACTTCCCTTTTCTGAATTTTCTTTGCCTCCGAAAGCGGTGCGACTGTCGTGCTATCCATTCCTGCCAAAAACACACTAAAAGAAACCGAATCAAACGCACCAGCGGCAAAAGTAATATAAACTTAAAAATAAGACTTGAAGACACACAACTACGAGTAATTCAGATAATAACAACTAAAGCTTCGAAAACATATAAAAACATTGTGAAATTAACAACAAATAGCGTTTGAAAGCACAAGTGAAATCCACCGATCAAACTCCCCCGAACTTGAACTTTTGCTTGTCCTCAAGCAAAAAGCTCGCCAAACCGAACTTAATATCTTTTTCATATGGAACGTCCATAGAATTGTGAGTTACGGTGATGATACTCATACTTGAACTTCTCATTCCAAGTCCCCTAGGATTAATCTCGGCTTTTCCCTCAAAACAGGTAACCTGCAAACACTAGACTGCGGTAAACCACAGACCTCAGTCTCCCTATGGGTAACCTCTCCGACTGTGCTTTGTACTTAAGTCTTCTTTTTCGATTTTCCTCCCTTTCATTCGGACAATCACTATACGGCTTTTATGATTTTCCTCGTGTGCACAAGATTTATCAATGATATTTTTCTTTTTCTGGCACTGTTATTCTTTTTGAATGGCTTTCAGGTTCGACCGCCGTTGGGCTGAATAACCGGGCGAGGGTTACCCAACTTAGAAGGATTAGTCGCCTCATTGCCCCTTTTTGTTTGTTTGTTTGTTTTTCTCTGTGCCTTAGCTCAATATTTTTCATTACCCTTGCACACACGATTCTTTTTATGAAACCTGATTGTCAAAATAAACTACTCAGGGGTACTTCTCAGATCAAAGCACTATGGTACAAATCTACACGTCGAACTTGTTCCTATTCGGGAAACCCAGGGTGTTTTCCTTTTACCTATCTCTCAAGATTGTTCCGATTTCATCCTCACAGTTCTTTTCTGAGTATTCTATATACTTTCTCATCACCTCACTCAACATCTTCACTAAACAGTTCCCCAACCAACAATGTTATTAATTTTATTAGCTCAATGTCAGGGGGGTTTTCCTGTGGACTTGCTATCATGTTCTCAAACTAACACTGGAATTTAAATACCCAAATAACTAAAACAGAATTGAAAACACACAAATAACATAAGAAATTAAATAACCAAATAACTAAAACACAAATAAAATACCCCCACACTAGAATTCAACAGTGTCCTCACTGTTGGAACACTAGTAGCAGAGGACTCACAGAGTTCATGGTTGCGGAGGTTGGTCGCGCAGCATCATCTGCCGCATCCATTCGTGCATCTCACCGATCAACCTGCCTTGTCGGATTTGTTCGTTCCCTTGTCTTGTCTGCTCCTCGCCTTGCCTCGTCTGCTCACTTCG